GTAATCACTTGGGAAGCATGTTTAATTAACCTAAATAATGAAGTGACCTTAATTGCTACTTGTAACCCCCACATATATTGCATGAGATACGGCCGAGACCCACATTTGTGGACCTCAAGGGATGTCTAACACATTCCCCTCGAGGTAATTTGAACCCTTACCCGATCTCTGGTTCGTTGACCTTAGTTAGAATTAGTTAGGTTAGATAGGTGCCCTAACGCGCCTTAATTCGTTAGGTGGCGACTCTTCAATCCAACCCAAAAGAGTTGTTAGGTCGAAACCCATTTTGAGAAAAACGGGGCGCGACGTCCATCTAATATGAGTCGGAGATAGTAGTAATATTTTGACCACTTCTTAGAAAATATGAAATATTCCTATTAATTCTTCGTTACATCAATTCAAAACTTCATATAAAGTGATTGAGTAAACTATTAAAATTTGAACCCAATTATGTCACCATCTAATCCATCAGGTAATAGGAATACTTGCTCTAACCCCTAAATAGAAGAACCCTCAACCATCAAATCGGTTATAACATGCGAATGGTAAATTAATCATAAGATAATTAACACCCTAATTAAAATGAAAACACCTTTAATGGCTTTAAAACCTCCAAGGTAGGTAGGCTCGAGAAGCCTTGGGGTGGTACGGCATGTAGGCTTGGGGAAGCTTAAAGTGATGTGATTTTGGGGAGGGGGCACGGAAATTAAGGTACATAGTTATGGTAATTACCTGGACAGGGTGAGTGTATGTGAATAGAGAAATGGGGTAGTATAACTTCATATTGCATGTTCCTTTTGAATGTCTATTTTATATTATGCGGTAGGTTTGAGGCGATCGATGATGCCTACCATTACGTGTTGTTTGTACTGATACTCCTCTTGCTATGTCACTTGACATAGTCATCTGGTTACATGAATTCAGTGATGTTTTCTAGGTGGAGACGATGATGATCTCCGATAGCTTCTACTCCTCTGTCCTTATGGTAGGAATTGCGTCTTATTTTTACGTATAAAATCATATTCTCTTAACAGCTCTTGTACCTGTTTAGACTAGTTCCTTGGTGGTTGTTTTTTAGTCTTGTAAAAAGGTTTTACTAAAGTTTTATTCTTCTTAAGGTTGAAGAGTTTTGTAGTAAATCATTATTTTCGGCATGTTTTAATTCTGTTTGAGTGGTAAATATTCTCTTATCTAGGTGTTAGCATATATGTCCACATGATTCAGAGGATTGGATTGTGACAATACATTTACGACAAATATTTTTAATAATGACAGAATAGGTCGTTACAACTTATCACTATAATAGAGTACTTTCTTATTTCAAGGTGATTCAACAATCTGTGTATAAGCAAAAACGTAGTTTTATCTTATTTATATTGTACAATTTTTCGATAAAGATAATTTTGTAAGACAATGTTTACACAATATTATACTAGAGAATATTCACTTATTTCAAGATGAATCAACAACTTATAAATAATACAAATTATTAATTTATTTTTTATTTGTGCACTATATTTTTTTATGAAGGCCAGGGATACAATTGAACCCTTTTAACTCCCTTTAGCTTCTTCACCAGCCGTGTAATGGATGGAATCCTTTCATTTTTAATCAAATCTAAGTTTTATTTTTTATTTGATCTCGTATTTACAGGTAGAAAAAAATGTTTTTCCTTTAATGAATCCTACATAATTGCAGTTTCTTCATTTAGGGATATAAAACGTTATGGATACACTAGCGTTTGATTATTAATTTAAAAAATTTACTTTCAATATCTGTTGATCATAAAATTTGATTAAATCTTTAAATATATTCACCTATCAAAAACTAACACATCAAAATAAAACTAACTCCTTTTCAAATAATACGCATGTCCACATATTCTACACCACCCAAATATAAACACGAGGTGAATAGTTAATTAGGAATGGTTGTACTAGGAACAATAAGAAATGGTGATGCAATTAATGAGTTGTAGTTTTTAAATTGACATAAATAAACATTAACTAGGAATGGTTGTACTAGGAACAAACAACGTGGGAGATGGAGCCCCTTAAACTCAACACTCGAAGGTGATCAACCCACGATTAACTTTACTACGTGCTCTCATCCATCACCATACATGCAAAATGCTACCTACTTTCGCGCTTTCGTGGCATCGTTTGATCTGACATAAAAAAAATTTAAAATTTCTAATTTAAAATTATAATAATTGACAATTGAAATATTTTTAAAAATTATAATAAAAAATAAATTTATTTAAATTTCAAAATTTTAAAAATATCACGTGAATTAAAATAGACGGGACAGAGGAATTGTAAAAGTAGGAAGTTTACCTGTTTCACTTCAAGACAAAAGGAATTATGACTACGATGACTCAACGAGTGACTCAACATTGGCCACATTTGGTTTCGGTCAGTTGGTACAAAAATTAAATAATGCATGAGCTAGTAATATAGGATTTATTTTTATCAAGTGTTTGATTCATATTTCTCACCATATCTTGTGTTTGGAGTAAAACTCTATAAAGAAATTTCTTTCTAATTATACCCTTGAATTATTATGTAATTGAGTCTAGATAATCGTCGGACAATATTATTTTTTATGGTCTTTTAACTAGTTAGGAGAAAAACAATTTTGTTGTCAGATTTGCTATTTTTCCATTTGAATTATATGAAAAAACTCTATAAAAAGCTTCTTTCCAATTATATCATTGAATTATTATGTAATTAGGTCAAGGTAGATAATTGTCGGACAATATTTTTTTATAACATTCTTACTAGCTATGAGAAGAACAATTTTGTTATCATGTTTGCCTTTTTTCCCCCCTGAAATTATTTGAGGATAAATAATTGTCATCTTAATAAATTGATCACTCACAAAATGTCAATTCTCAATTTAAAAAAGATAAATCATCTACTTTTAAACTGAAAAGACGGTAAATAATAGAATAATTGAATAAACCATCTACATTTACACATAAAAATTGGAAGTTGTAGTTGTAATATGTATGCAAATTCATAAATTGTTCAAAATACAAATAATTAGAAAATCATATATACCAACAAATAATACATTCAATTAAGATCACAAACGTCATGTGGTGATATATTTGTTTTTTTAAGTAGTAATGTTAAACAACTCACATTTGAAATATTGTATTGATTTGTAATTGGATTTATTTAGTAACAAACAACACTCTCTAAATAATTTGTAAGCTAATTTATTTAAATAAATTTACTAGTATGAATATAAAACATAACACCAAGAAAATAAACAAAATATGTGAATTAGTTATATATAGGCTCAAATTCCTATCAAATATATGTATAAATCTTTCAAGATACATTAAAGATCTAAAATAAAATTACTAGATTTTATCAAACTAGTATATATTGTCAACACTCAACAGTGTGTTCGATCATTTAATTAAAAGTGGAAATGTCACTCTCTTTTAATCAAAATGGTTATGTACGTTCTATTCAATGTAGCTTCCATATTATTATGTACGTTCTATTCAATGTTGCTTGCATATTATTTAGTGTTAAGCCACAACTTTAAAAAACTAAGTGATGTTTAATTCTTCTTCATTTTCTTGAAAGTCAGGCCAATGTGTCTCCAAATTTAGTTTCTTAGTTCAACATTAGTGTCGTGAAGATTAGTTTTTCAATTTCAATTTTAGGACCTTTTCGTTTAGGATTTTTATAAAAAATTTAGCGGTATATATATATATAGGGGTGGCAATTTCAGCTCATATTAATGAAATGAATCCATTTTGCCCATATTTAATGACTTGGATCATTCATATTTTAATTGGTTAAATATGGGATTCAAGCTATTTTAAGAGTCTCTACAAATATGGTCAAAATGGGTTAACTATGGATCTCCATATTGACCCATAATAGATCACTTAGTTTTCACTTCCACTCAAAATTCTTAATTGTGCTAAAAAATAAAAAAATTAATATTAATTTTCAAAAATTCAATTAATTTTCAAACTTAATTGAAAAAACATATTTTTTTATGTTTTTGGAAAACAAAAAAAATAGGGTAGGTTGGTGGAAGGGGAGGGGTGCCCGGGGGAGGGAGTAAATTATTTTATTTTATTTTGCTTTTGGAAAACAAAAAAAAATTTAGGGGTCGGTTGGTGGAAGGTGGGGGTAAATTATTTTTTTTTGTTTTTGGAAAACAAAACAATTTATGGGTAGATTGGTGGAAGGTGTGTGTGGGGAG